ATATATATATATTAATAAATCGTGCTATGGCTTTTAAAATATAGTATAAATCTTTGAAATCGTTGGTTGGCACCGTATTTTTGCTGGATCGTTCAGTATCTTCGTACCGTGTTGACTCCACACGACACACGTCGGAAGACGTACGCATCAAGGCGCTGCATCACCCACCTATCAGATAGACACCACCGGATTCTTTTTCATGCCAGGGATGAGTCATGAGACATACCAGCACCCTCGAACAGGCCAGACATGCCAGGGTTGGGAAAGGCCTAAGAGGTCTCAATTGGTGACCTGTTGGAGGATGAGACATATACAAATGAACATCCAGAACTCAAACAACCCCTGTTGCTTCCTTTTTCAAAGCCTCTTTCTCTTCATCAGACCGACTGAGAACGAGCGTGAGGCCACCGGATCGGCCCAGCACCTCCACCTCCACCTCCACCACTTACCCAGTACCTTTTCGGACCGCACGACCACCGACGGCGCGGTCCCTTCTTGGCCTCCTTGACCCCCAAAGTCATAGACCAGGTTGACCTCCAAAGTCATAGACAGACATCGATGTGCAGGAAGAGCTCGTTAGTTGGGATTTTCACCGACCATGTTTTTTTCCCTTTCCGACGAAGCTGAGTCTTCCGGTCTTCTAGTCATTCAAGCTTCGCTTCGTTTCACTGGCCTTGGAAGATGTATGTCTTTTGTTTTACATAAGAAACTGCCACACCATCACTGCCAGGTCGCGTGTCAACGAGAGAATCCATGTCTTTCGGACTTGGCATCATCCGGCTTTGTCAAGCGCCGAACACTTCGCCGCAAGTTTTGAGCTGCTCCGGGATCTTAGATCCGTTCTCTTCATTCTGCATTCAGACATTAGACATGTGACATTAGGAATGTTCGAGACCAAGAAGCCATCAGAGGAACTCATGGTCTGCATACTGCACTTCCGTGGCTTCCTGGCCTTTTTTTTTCCGTGGTGGGGGGGCAGTTGTTTGAGCGCGCCCGCACTGCCACCATGGTTGCCATGCATGCTGACGATCGTTTTGCAAAGTGGCGGGCCCTTAGCCAATCCAGAGCCCTGGACAGCAGTGCTGTTGATGGTGTCTTTAAGATGCCTTCCACCCGAACTTGACATGTTGTTTGACCCCTCTTTGTTCTGCCCTGGGCAGTTGTTTGTTTCAGTCGGACTTACAGGACTATTTTCCTACAAAATGGACATCTCCATTGTTTTGCATTTTTTTGAACTCCGGCATTCCTCCTATAGGTGGAGATACACAAGACGACTTGTATATGTGTATATGTTGCATGACTTGTATGTGTGTAAAGAAACACAGCATAAACTTCAGTCCTTGCATCAATCACCGAATGCGTTCGCAAGCCTGTCATGGGGAGGTAAGCCTCCCCCCTGTTTCATAGATTTTCATAGTGAACCCCAAAGGATCGAATGTGCCGTAACAGCGCATCCAACGATTCAATTCAGCGCGTAATAGTCCTATTACTGTACAAGAAACCCATTGCGAGTGTCTTTTTGCAGAAGTCTTCAGTCAGATGCTCTTTTGGATCGTGCCGGATCACAAGACTTCGGCAGTGCACACCAATCGAAGTGCCAAGACACAACAAGACGTCGAAAAAACCATGTCCTACACTCGTCGGAAAGCTGCCAACTACAACACTTCATCCCTGTGAAGTCTTCTTTTGTTCATGGGGCGTCTTCTCTTGACTTCAAAGAATTCATTTGGATGGTGGAAACAGGGGGGCTGGTGCGGACACAACTACACAACGTTTGAATGTGGAACGCGTTGTGAAGAAGTCTTGGCAGGTGGAATTAAGGTGTTTGCAGGTGGTTTCCGTTTCCGTCGATGTCTGAGTCCGGAACACACCGGCCTGGTCCGCTCCGTAAACACTCACCGGTCTGGTCAAGGTCTCGTCTGGTCCCTGTGGCTTTGGCTACTGGCTTCCTTGTCTTATGATGTGAAATCAGGATGACGCTGAAGGTGCTGGTGGCGATGTATCCCTGATTCTTCGATAGCTGAGTAGAGATTTTGTTTTGGTATACTGAGTCGATGAGACAAAGGCTGAAGATCGTACGAGGCGAAACGAAAAAAAGAGTCTGTTCACAAAACTAAAGCAGAATTCATGCCTTAGGTAATATTAACCAAGAGTGACCTGGAGTTCTCAATTATTTGTTTTGCCACTTCATCATCAAAACTCAGGATGCAGAAAGGAAAGCTTTGCAATATTACCTCTTGTCTATCATGTTTGACTTAAAATACACATTTGTCCCAAGAAAACAACAGTCAGGCGCTTCGTCCCTCAATTCAGATAAGGCTGACCATAAAGGACGTTCGTTGGTCGCATCGGAAACGCTCTGCGTTGTTCTCTTCGTAGGGCACACCGCAGAAAAGCCGCAGGACGATCGACCCACTGAGCTGCGTTGTTACACGAACCGCAAGCCTTCGCATGCTTTCCCACCAAACATCTAGCATCAATGCTTATAAACATATGAGTTTCAATGTAAACAATTTTAAGCAAAAAGACATTGATTGACTGATTGACTCATCCTTGCCATGTTTGCCGTCAGAATTCAGCAACATTAGATGTCTTTGCTGTCGTGGTTTATCCAACTGATTGTTTAGTCTACCCAGACGCTCCAAACAGCCCTTGGTCCCTCAAAACCTAGGGATTTGAGACCCCAGACCTCTCCATATCATCAGGGTCCGACCCTTCCATATGAGGGACCATGAGCGTTGGGGTAAGAGATGTTTGGGACAGAGTTGTGATCTCTTTGCCAACAACCCTTGAAGGGGAGTTCATACGAGTGAGCCGTGAACCCACATGGGGATTTGGCTCCTATACGTTTCTGTACTCTACTTGCAAACCCTGTGTATTCCAGCTTTTCACAGGGAGGGCAATAATAGGGCACGATGGATGTCTTGCGATTCTTTTCCCGGATCACCTCAGCTTTAGGTGCTGGCCCTGTAGCAAACTTCCGGTTCGAATGCTTAGTGATATTTTGTCAGCGCTTGGCCCCGTAGTTGGTCTTTGTCACTCGACACCTCGATTAGCTGAACTCATCCTGCTCTTTTTGGTGGCCTTCATTCTGGGATTTTGCTGTGGGGGCATCATTGTGGGCCTTTTGATTTCAGCTCGGTGTCGGGTGGCCACCGCCCGATTGATCTACTTTCTGATTGAGGGCGCAGACCAAGACTTGAGGCCAAGACCAGAAAGGCCGACAGGAAGCCCTGACCGCTTGCAGCGGTATCGTGCGTGAAGGACGGCTCCGCTCCTTGGGTGGAGAAACCTGCTTGACAGCATTCCGAGCACACTACGGCGTTGGTGGTGGCTGCTAGCTGACCTGTTTGGCATTTTCTTTCTCACTGTAGGCTGGGAGGTTGGGTGCCAGAACCTAGCGCAAGAAAGCACGCTGCCGTTCAACTACCTGGCTTTTCGGCCTCCGCCAGGTCTTGAGGACCCCCCCCTGTTTGAGTCAGCAGTTGTTCCTTTTCAAAGACCATGCCGATTGCCGAAAGAGGCATTTTGAACCTGCGTGTGATAAATGGGAATGGTCAGCCAGTAGACACCTTGATGCTGAAGTGGCCTGCAGTGGGCAACGAATGGCACCTTGCCCTTCCAGTTCGAGTTTGCGCTACTGGGCTGATTCTAGCTTTGCCGAAGGGTGCTCTGACGGACGAAGACTTAGAAGCAGGACATGCAGCAGATCCAGATGCCTTGGTGGGTCCCAGTCACGAAGTCAGAGTGAGCTTGACCGAGACTCCAGATGTCGAAGTGGATGTCGTGTTGGTAGAATTCGCAATGGCCATCAGACTCCAGCTCGAAAACAGGACAGCTCGAAGCCGGAGAGTGGTGAACGCGTTCACCGAACAGACCCGGGACCTTCAAATGCCCAACATTGCCGAGCTGGACGAACACATGGTGGCTTGGCTCGAGACAGGGGCGCTGCGCACAGACGACTTTCAGACGGCAGCGGAAGGACCGCTCGAGGCAGAAGATCGGGACAGTCGGTTGCTTCAGGAGATCTCAAAGCTACAGACTATGATGGACCGCCGCTTGAGGCTCATGGAGAACCAAATCCACGACCTTCAAGACCGGCAACCCCGACCTGCAGACAATCCGCCAAAGCCCAAAACTCAGCAGCAGCCAGGAGGCGCCTTGCCGCAAAAGAGCGGCGTGCGAGAAGAGGAAATCTCCGAAGCTGTGGAGGCAGCAAGCCGCTACCTCAAGCCAAGGCCAAAAGCAATGCCCGACCAGCCGGGAAGAACATTGGAGACTTTTGTAGATACCCCTCAGTTAGAAGAAGTCGACGCGGCCTCGGTAGACGACCTTATGAAACTCTCCATGCTCAAGCTGATGAAGGACCTACAGCAGAAACAGACCAAAACCAAGTCGAAGAAGAAGCTGCCAGGACTCACCTTTTGGGAAGATTCGGAGTCCAGTCAGGACGAAAGTGTAGGCTGGAGCTCAAGCAGCAAAGGAGGACGAGGTATCGAAGCAGTAGAGAAGGTGAAGCATGCCATGAAGGGCCATCCCGAGGCCTATCAGGAAAGGATGGAGCAACGCATGTTGAAAGCTTGCGATGCTACCGAAATGACCCCCCTCCATCCCTCTGCAGTTCGTGAAGGGAAGCCCCGTGGGGAAATCGCGAACTGCGGGGTACTGTCTCCAGGGATTCGCCGAAGTTCACCGTTTGCTCCTAGAAAGCAAACCCAAGCAGGCACGTTTGCATGTGCTCAGGATGATGGCAGCTCTAGAGCAGTTCCTGATCGACGAAAGTTGGGTGGTGGCCAGCCGATTGACTTGTACCGAGGAGCCTCCATGGGGTCATTGGGCGACTCAGGATGTGGGCGCCATCAGGCGTCAACTGGTGTACAATCGACTGTCCGAAAGCACATGGGTGGCGGCAGTGATCAACCAGTTGAAGGAAGAAGAATGGCTGACAAAGAAGCGGACGGGGCTCAATGCCAAAGGGAACGGCAAGGGCAAGGACAAAGACAAGGACAACGCCACCTGAGAGCCCACAGATTTTTGAACTGGGTTTGCCCGCATGTAATTAAAGAGTCCAACCCACCTGCTGAGTTTCGTACCCCT